TAATTATTCATTCTCTGAAATTCATAAACAAAGTGAGAACCAGTGAGTAGAAACTGGAAGCTGGAAAGGTCTCGGCTCATTGTGTACAAGGACATCTTCATTAGAAATATCTGCAATGGTAAATCAGAGAAAGAAAAGGAGCACCATCAAACTATAGATGTACAAAAGTAAGTTGGATGTTTAGAATTAATTCTATTAATAGAGAAGAGTTTTATGCATCTTGGAGAAAGAGGTACTCTGGAAGATCTCCAATGGCTTATGAATTCCCAATAGTTCATCATCTTAAATATGTCGCTGATCCATTTCCTGGAATCCAACCCCAGAAAATCCATATCCCCCAAAGTGAGCCTAGACTTGTGATTGCTGTTAATATGAATTCGGAATGCTGCAAACAAATGGGAGCTTCCCCAAACATCACAATTTGTAAAGCTTTCCCTCACACCTTACTCTGCCAAACAAGTGATGAGACAGGCAAGGGAGATTACTGTCCCCGTTTTTCAGATATGGAACTTGAGGCACAGAAGCTGGTAACTTTTTAGAGAACACAGATGGAGGTAGGTCACCAACTCGAACCAAGCGTAACTGCTAAAACTCTGCCCTAGGTTGAGAGAAACATTCCCGCAAACCGCAGCTCCGATGCTTCCCCACGGCTCCCGGCACGGAAGCCATCCTCCTCCGCCTTCACACGCTCCCTGCTACCCTACGGAGCCAGCCAGGGCAATTCAACACGACCTGGGCCCGAAGTCCCCTACTAGCCGCCTCACTTGACAGCTTGCCCGGGCAAGGCGCCGCAAGAACCTCCACCAGCCAACTCACCAATCTTGCGGGGACGATTCTCTGCCGGAAGCGCCGCCCAGTCCTAAAGGAGCGCCGTCAACGTTCTTCCGCAGTGCGCTGCAGTCACGCAGAAACGTTCCGGCTGGGAACTCGGCTGCCAAACATTCTTCCCTGAGCCAACTAGCTGCTTCCTAGCTGGTCTTCGCAAAGAGGCGGGAAGAGCGGTCACTATTCACTCCTGCGAGTTCAGAGGTACAGCAACCGTGCGTTGCGAGCTCTGAGGAGTTTGATTTTGTTGATTTCTAAAGGTTGGGATGAAATACTCTAATCACGGCAGCAGGGCCAGGACCTTGCTGTGCAACGGTATTTTATTAAGCGCCGATACAGTTCTAAGCGCCGAGAAAATGGTAATGAAAACTTAAAAAATCTTTGTCCCGGTAGAGGTTTTTTTTTTTTTTTTTTTTTCCCTACCAGGGGGAAAACTATTAAGAAAAACGGGCGCGGTGGCATACTCCTGTAATCTCAGCCACTCGAAGTCTGAGGGAGGAACATCGCAAATTCTAGCCCAGCCTGGGAATATTAGCAAGACCCTGCCTCAAAATAAAAAATTAAAAGGGCTGGGGATATAGCTTAGTGGTAAAGCATCCTGGTTCAATCACTGGGGAAAGGAAGAAGGGTGAAAAATGTATCAAATGGTGGTGGTACTATTCAGAAAAAAATAAGCTTATAGAGGGAAAGGGTTGCAGTTTGAAACACGGTGGTCAGAGGAATTTTCAGTGAGAGCCATAACCCAAAGGAAGGAAGGAGTTAACGTCACCTAGGGGAAAAGCTCTCCAGACAAAGTAAACAGCAAGCACAAAGGCTCTGAGTAGAAACACGCTGGTGTGGTTTAGGGACTGTTGCAGTGGGCGTAGTGATGTCATTGGAATTTTTAGGGCAAGAGGCCCAAACAAACTGGGCTCAGTCACCTTCCCAATATGCCAATCAAGGAGACCAGCTGTGGTGAAGAAAAAGAGCTTTTATCAGCCTGGCTACAGTGGGAAGAACAAATAAAGAGGTTCAGTGACCTAAGGTGTTGAGATTTTACAGCAAAGGTAAGGATCGAAGGGAGCCTTGGTCAGGCCATGGTCCCGTTGATCATTTTGGGGTTAGTTCTAGGAAGCTCCTGGAAAGCCATTATCGCTTGAGGGGAGCAGTTCAAGTCCCATCATGATTGCTCCTGCTTTGGGGGCACAGCCTTGGTTCCATCATGGGGCAGTTGCTCCTGCTTAGTAAGGGCAATCTCATCAAGGGGTGATCTGCTCAGCGGTGGCATTGCTTGGAGGTACTTTTGGTTCCTTGTCATAAAGATGCTTATCCATCAAACCTGTTCTTAGAATCCAAAGTAAATACCAAAGAGTGGCTCAGAAAGACAAAAAAGTTGGAGGCAAATGGAGGCAGAGATGGACAAAATGGAGTATGTCAGTGACTGAGTCCTTCTTCAGTGGCAGCTAAAATCATGAAGGGGTGGAGGACTAAGAGCATTGTAAGAATTCAGGAGAGGCCAGGATGGCTTTGACCAATTCAGTATGGCAGTGCAGCTCATGATAAGTGGAAAGACTGGATGTTATATTAAAAAAAAAAAAATCCTGATCATGATCAATAAAAGTCATTGATCATAACTCCAAAGTTTTTAGCTGAAAGGGTGTAGTTGCAATTGCTGAGGCGCCATGAGTAAGATCAGTTCAGTTTTGGACAAATTGTTTGAGATATATACTGATACATATGGAGTTACTAGAATTTCTCACACTTGAGAAATGGAGAGGCAAGGCAACCTCCAAAGGATCAGAAAAGAGCCAGGGACTAAGGGAGAAATAGCAGAAAGGAACCTCATGAGCAATGATCTCTTTCCTTCTCTTATCAGCATATTCAATCCTTTGTCTTTATTGTTTTGTTGGTACCCAAATCTTCCTGGTCTGCATTCTACCTCCCTCAAAATCATAAGACAGGTTTCCTACATTGTAGTAGAAAGACCACAGCTGGATTTTAAATTACCTATATGCAAAATGATGATAGCTACAGGGTTTGGTGGCAACTCCAATGTCATTTCCTCTGGAATGACAAGGTCTTATTGTTCAGTTTTTATGTTGTCTCACATTAACAAAGTTTTAAAGGGGGAGAAAGGGAAACTAGCATTGCTGAGTGCTACTCTCCATTTCCATATTTACTTTTAGACAAGGATATATTACCTTTAAAATTAGGTCATTACAAATATCTTTTACAGATTCAAAAACCTGAAGAACAGGATGGTTAAGTAATTCATCCAAGGACCTACTTGAGTAACTGCTGAAGGACAAAGCCAAGAATAGAACAGATGCTTTGCAGGCAACAAATGAGAAACTTTATGGAATACCCTTCTACATTTTGTTGCTGTCATATAAAAACATCCTGGCCATGTAGCTATATCACTTTTCTAACTACAAAGGGACATAATAATTTACTGATACAATATTTTCTGAAAGCTTCCCTAATTATTCAAGCATTTTACTCATTTCTTTTCAATAGAAAAAATGTTAACAATATAAAATAAGGGATTACGTACTTCTACATCTATTTTTCCTTTCACCCAAGAGGTGGTATAGAGCGCCAGGCACACTGGCACATGCCTGTAGTAATCCCAACAACTCAGGAGGCTGAGGCAAGAGGACTGAAAGTTCGAGGACAAAAAAAGAAAAAGCAAGTGTGAGGACAGCTTTGGCAACTTAATGAGACCCAGTCTCAGAATTAAAAATTTTAAAGGTAGGGATGGAAGGGGGGAGTGAGAGTGGTGTAGTGTAGTAGAATCACGAACACCCAGGAGATCAAGTATGTTTTCTGATTGTTCCAGCTGAGCCTTTGAAAAAATCCAGATTGGAGACACTTCCATCCTGATGCCTAAGCAGGGAGAATGCCTGGGTGAGAAACCCTAGTCCCAACTGATGCCAGAGCCCCTGGATCCATGATCCACAGTCTTCTGATCCTGGCTTCCTGAAGTGATCTTTATTGCTACGTACTGCATTTCAACAATTATTTTCTTATTTTATTTCAAAGTCCAATTTTATGGCACAATTTTACAATCCTTCCTATTTCATTTTCTGTGTTCAGTGGAAAAGTTGTTCTATGAGAACACTGGCAAACTTGCCTTCACAAACAAGGTAAAATGATTTCCAAGAACATAATTAAATGTTTAACAAAAATCAGTGAAGGTGGGTTAGTGATATAGCTCAGTGATAGAGTGCTTGCCTTGCATGCTTGAGGCTAGGGGTTCAATCCCCAGTCCGAACAAATAAAAAGAAAAAAAAATCAGTGAATGTGCTCATGCTTATTTCCATTTGATGTGAATCTAAAAACTTTGGAAATGCCTTTTGTATAATATAGAAACATATTACGTAGCATATAGAAAGATAAGAATTTCTTCAATTTGAAGAAGTGAAACAGTGTTCCATGAAAACATTATTTAAAAGTTTATCTTTAGAAACTAATGCAAAATTGTACACAGAAAATTATAAACTTCAATGCCTGAATTGCATACTAAAGATTATTCAATTGTCAGAAAAACAATCAAAACTGGGATAAACACAATCAACTTGGTTAGCATAGTATTAGGAACTAATTTTACTTCTAATAAGAATTTGAAGTTTTTAAAGAAGTCATGAGATTTAAAGGAACGGTTTGAAATAATTTGATGTTTTATGGAATAGCAGTCTATTTCCAGACACATTAGCCTTCTTACAGCCAAAGGATTGGGAAATTGCCAACAAGCACAGCACACAAAATAGTTTAAAACAAGGGACAACTCCTGAGTGTAGTTTTCCACAGCCTAATATTAACCATACTAATGACATCAAACTGTGTATTACAAAAAGAGAACACCAGGTTTAATACCTTATGAAATATGTACAGAAGTTGAACATTCCTGTATGATATAATTCAAGTCATAATTCAATTATGAATGTAATGGGACATTCTGATATAGTGAAAAAGGTCTAGTTGATTACCAAAAAATGCATGTAAACCATAAAAGATAAAAACTATTTAAAAACACAAAATTCTAAACACTAGGTTTAAGCTTTCATTTTTAAAAGGTGTATATATATATATATATATATATATATATACACACACACACACATATATATTTACAATCTTTAAATTTCATACATTTGTTAATTTTACATGATCTTAATTAACAGGTGACAAAAAGCAACAAAAAAACCCTTTTAATCATTTTTATAACAGAAAAAAATCAATAGGGAGGTTGGCAGAATGTAGTATACACAGTAGCTAAAATTCCAAGGGCAGGGACTTTATTATTAATGGAGTCATAAAATAGACATAACCAAAAGCATATGCTAGTACACAAGCAGTCTCACTTCAGAGACTTCATTGCAGGGACCCAGTTTTCTTATTTAAAAATAAATGATTATAAATAATAATTATCTAAAGCATTGTTGGGAAGATTAGATGCTTTCTTGGGTGTGAAAATTCACAGCACAGTTCATACCAGGACCTTCCTTTAAGGTTTAAAAACCTCAAACAGCATTATTTTGTTCTTAATACGAGAACCAGTGTTTAAACTATAAAATCCTTAATAGGAGTGTTCAGCCCAGTTGATTAACAAAAGTTATTTATAAATGCTTCAATACTGATGATATGAAACTGATGATATTAAAGCTACCAAAACTTTGTAATGAACACCGAGTTTGGCTTCCTAGATAAAGAGTCCAAAATCATTTGCCTTCTGAGAACATTTCAGAGATATCAGATAGATATTCCTTAATTTCTCCAGCACTGTGGCATCTGCCTTCTAAGTTTTCCGTCTATCATAGTCTCCAACCATCTTCTTGATGTGTGACAATTTACTCTTCAACTGTTTGCAGTAATTTCTCTTTCTTTTGTAATCTGCAGACTAAAAGGGAGGAAAAATGAATCACATGAATTCAACACAATTAAAACAGGTCTGCTGAGAAGGCAGAGGTGAACAAAGGGAATATTAGTCATAAAGAATTGCTGAGTGTTAAATGAATATATTTAAAGTGTCTGGTGGTACTGCCAACCACATAGGCGGCTGATTCACTTTACTCAATTTTATGTTCTAACCTGGATTTCACAAAGCATACGCTCACTTCTAAAAATTCATTAAATCACCAAGACGACTTATTGGCCTTTTTTTCTATCAGGTCATCTACAAAAATTAGTGAAATAAGAAACTGGCATTATCGAACAGGGGATAAGAGAAGTTTACTACATACTGTTTTAAAACTCTTATTTAAAATCATGATGCTTCATAATTCACAAAAATTTTAAAGTAAAATCTTAAAAATGTCAATGATTGATAATACCAAGTGTTAGCAAGGACACAGAACAACGGGGGCTGCATTGCTCAGAGGGAATATAAATGGCACAACTATCCTGGAAAGCTGTTTGACAGTGTTTACTAAGGCTAGATACACACATGCCTTCTACTGCATGCCCAATGACTCTGATTTCACTTCTGAGTTTGTACCTATTAAATGTTTGCACATTTACAAAAATATTTCATACTGCCTTATTTGTAAAAGTCAAAAATCGGGAACTCAAATGTTGATTAGCAATAGAGTAGATGAATAAATTGTGTGTATGGTTTTTTTGCCATGCTGGGGATAGAACCTTGGGCTTCATGCATATTGAGTTTCATCCTAAGTCCAAGTTGTGTTTTAATCATTAAACACACAGCATAGCAATAAAAATAAATGAACCAGAACTACATGCCAAAATATGAAAGGAACTTGTAAACATCGTAAAAGGAATCCCCCACACAAAATACATACTGTATGATTCTATTTATATAAAGTTCAAGATATCAGGGAAAAAAGATGGGGTGGGGGTTGCCAGGTCACAAGGAAATGTATTTCTTGATTTGAATGCCAGTGCATTGGAGTGCAGTCACTTTATGAAAATTTACCAAGTTGTATACTTTGATTTCAACACTTTGTCTGTATACTTAAAAAAAAAAAAGTTTTCAGAAAATCAGTATGGACTGTAGCAGCAAACAACTGAAATTAAAGTTCCAACTGCTGAGTTATAGTATTCCTATCAAAATTACAAGGCTTTTTCTCAATAACCAGTGCATGCGTAAGAAGGTATTCTTAGTCATCCTAAAGGTTAAATAAATAAATAAATAAAAACATAGAAAAGATTTTCCTGAAAGAATCTTACAATTCAGGATACTTACTCCCTTAACTTGCTTCAGTCTATTGTATTCATCAGCAGCAGCCTATTAATGAGAAACACAAGGCAATGTGTTTAGTGGGGCATTTCTCTTTGAAGAATAACATTCCTGATGTCGCACTTTGGAGCTAAAAAGACCAGTTTATGATAAGAATATAAGGAATTAATGAAGCTTTACAGCTTTTAAAAATTTACCAAGTTATAGTCAGCAGGAAGGTATCTAGTGACAACATATGGTAGGTGGCAGTACTGGGGATTGAACCTAGGGATGCTCTACCACTGAGCAACACCCCTTGCCCTATTTTTAAAATTTAAGACAGGGCATCAGTAAGGCTGGCCTCCAACTTATGATCCTCCTGCCTCAGCTCCCAAGTAGCTGAGATTACAGGTGTGCACCACCGTGCCCAGCTGAAGAAACGTTTCTGATATTATTTTCACGTGCATTCCATTCATATGGGCAGGTAATAATTTGTTCTGAAGCTTCTCATCTTTCCCCCCATGCCAGGCCACCCACATGCAACACTGACATCAGAAAAGTCTTCTGAATTGTAATGCAGATCTGATCTGGTTATATCCCACTATGAAACTGGTCTGAGATTCCCATAAACTTTACTCATCTAATTTCCCAGTTTGGTGTCCACCATTAGCAACTCCTTTTAAAAAAAAAAAAAAAATTAGGCAGGCTAATGCATCAATATTTCTACCATGTTTTCCTTATGGACATCTAATCCTGCATTGCACCCACTGTACACCATTCCCTTCTATCCGTTTTTTGTTTTCCAGTACATAGAACACTTTACCACTAAGCTACATCTCAAGCCCTTTTTAAATTTTATTTTGAGACAAGTTCTTGCTAACTTGCACTCCTCCTCCCTCAGCCTCCCAAGTTGCTGGAAGCACAGACATACATCTCTGTGCCCAGCTCTATCTAGAAATTTCTTTTTTGGAGGGGCAGGGTGTTAGGGATTGAACCCGGGGCACCTTACCACCAAGCTACATCCCAAGTCCTTTTCCCTTTTCTTTCTTTTCTTCCTTCAAGATTGGCCTTGCTAAGTTGCTGAGGTTGACCTTGAACTTGTATTCCTCCTGCCTCAGCCTCCCAAGTCACTGAGATTACATATATGTGCCATAGGTATGTGCCTCGCTAGAAAATTTGTGACAGACACAGCTCAGTGATGCTTCCTCTATAACTCACTAGGCCTTTAGTTGACTTTATTCTCTGAGCACTTAAATGTGCTTTCTATACATAACGTAAATACAGCAGTTACAATAATTTATTTACATGTCAGTTTTTCTCTTAGTATATAAATTCTTTGGTGAGGAGGGAAGACATGCATTTTGACTTTATAATCTCAGCACTTCCACATCAACAAAGATTCAAAAAGTGACCAATAAATGTTAACTGAGAAAGGTTTATCACAATACCATATAGAAACCACAAAACAGACAAATCAAGCTATAAAAGCAAATACTTCAAAACGGAAAAGCAGATGGCCTTAATTGAAAAACTGCAAAGAATATTTAATAAAATAAATATGAGGGCTGGGGATGTGGCTCAAGCGGTATCGCGCTCGCCTGGCATGCGTGCGGCCCGGGTTCGATCCTCAGCACCACATACAAACAAAGATGTTGTGTCTGCCGAGAACTAAAAAATAAATATTAAAAAAAAAAAATTCTCTCTCTCTCTCCCACTCTCTCTTTAAAAAAAATAAAAATAAATAAATATGAAATTCCAATAAAAATATAAAGTGATGAGAAAGTATTTAATTAGTAATACCTAAGACACAAGGTAGTTAATTTTTCAGGCACTAGAGAGATGTGGGTCAACTGAGCCCCCTAGTGCATTACTAGGGGAATGCAGTTGGTATAATTCTAGAGGACAGTTTTATAGTGAAAGTTAAAATGCAGATACCCTATTGTTCACCCATTCCACATTCTGGCATTTGTTTTAACTAGACAGCAGACAAGAATGCAAAACTGGAGAAGATCACCTGTGCCTTCCAGGGTGGAAGAGACATACTGAATGTCTATCTGCAGAGGATTACTTTTTCTTTTTTGTATGAAGGATTGAACCCAGCGGCAGTCAACCTCTAAGCCACATCCCACCCCTTTTTATTTAGTTAGTTATTTTGAGAAAAGGCTGGCTTTGAACTTGCAATCCTCGTGCCTTAGCTTCCCAAGCTGCAGGGATTACAGGCGTGCACCACTGTGGTGGCTGCTGTGGATTACTCTTAAGTAAATTATGGCACAACCTTAAAATTGAAAATTGTGTAGCTATTTTTACAGGTAAAAAATTTAAAAGTAGTTTTTGGTTTTTTTTTTTCTGTAGATGGACACAATACCTTTATATTATTTATTTATGTAGTGCTGAGGATCAAACCCAGTACCCCATGCATGCAAGGCAAGTTCTCTCTATCACTAAATCACAACCCAAGCCCTAAAAAGTAGATCTTTATGAGCCCAGAAAACCAATCACAATAATCTCAAAAAATAAACTAAGAAATACACACACATTTGAGAACAAATCTAACCAAGGAGGTCAAAGACCTCTACAATGAAAACTACAGAACCCTGAAGAAAGAAATTGAAGAAAGCCTTAGAAGATACCTCCCATGTTCATTGAAAGACAGAATTAATATTGTCAAAATGGCCATACTACCAAAAGTTTTATATAGATTCAATGCAATCCCCATCAAAATACCAATGACAGTCTTCACAGAATTAGAAAAAACAGTGCTCGCTTCAGCAGCACATATACTAAAACTAGAGTGAGACAGAGAAGATTAGGATGGCCCCTGCATAAGGATGACACACAAATTTGTAAAGCATTCCATATTTTAAGAAAAAAGAAAGACACTAGAAAAAACAGTTCTAAAATTCATTTGGAAGACCCAGAACAGCCAAAGCAAATCTAAGCAAGAAGAGCAATGCTAGAGGCAACAGCACAGTATTGCCACCAAAACAGACAAGATCACTGGGATAGAACAGAAAACACAGAGATAAATCCACATAGATACAGTTTTCTGATCATTAACAAAGGTACCAAAAATATAGACTGGAGAAAAGATAGCCTTTTAAATAAATATGCTGGAAAAATAGGATATCTATATGCAGAAGAAGGAAACTTGATCTCCATCTCTCATCCTGCACAAAAGCCATCTCAAAGTGGACCTAGGAATTAGAATAGAAGCTCTGCAACTGTTAGAAGAAAATGTAGGCTCAACTCCTCCATGTTGGCATAGGCATCAAGTTCCTTAACAAGACTCCTAAGGCATAAGAAATAAAACCAAGAATAAGTAGGATGGCATCAAATTAAAAAGCTTCTGCACAGCAAAGGAAACTAGAGTATGAAGAGAAAGCCTACAGAATGGGAGAAGATCTTTGTCATCTGTTCCTCAGGGAATTAATATCCAGAATATATAAGGAACTCAGAAAACTTAACACACATGCAAAAGGATAACCCAATCAATAAAAGGGCAAAAGAACTACACAGACACTTCTCAAAAGAAGATATACAAATGACCAACAAATATATGAAAAAATGGTCAACTTCTCTAGCAATTTGGGAAATACAAATCAAAACTACATTGAGCCAGGTGCAGTGGCCCATGTGGTTCTGGAGGCTGAGGCAGAAGGACCGGAAGTTCAAAGCCAGCCTCAACAACTTAGCAAGGTCCTAAGCAACTTAGTGAGATCCTGTTTCAAAATAAAATGGGCTGAGGATGTGGCTCAATGGTTAAATGCCTCTGGGTTCAATCCCTGGTACCAAAAAAAAAAAAAAAAAAACCCTACATTGAGACTTTATCTTCAGTCAGAATGGCAATTATCTAGAATACAAATAATAATAAATGATGGCCAGGATGTGAAGGAAAAGGTGCACTCATGCATTGTTGGTAGGACTGCCAATTATGCCACTCTGGAAATCAGAATAAGAGTCTTCAAAAAACTGGAAATGAATCACCATAAGATCCAGCTATCCCACTCTTTGGTAGTTATCCGAAAGATCTAAAAATCAGCATACTACAATGATAAAGCCACTTCAATGTTTATAGTAGCACAATTCACAAAGGCCAAGTTATGAAACCAACCTAGGTGTCCATCAACAGATGAACAGGTAAAGAAAATGCAGTATATATACACAATGGAGTTTCTCACCTATAAAGAATGAAATTATGGAATTTGCTGGTAAATGGATGGAACTGGAGAAATCATGGCAAGTGAAATAAACCATACGCAGAAACTCCAGGGTCAAATCTTTTGTCTTATGTGGAAGCTAGAGCAAAATAAGGGCTGAAAGGGTCCCAGATGACCCTTTCTGATCCCCCAAAGATGGAGAACTAAGTCTCCCCACCACACTTCCATGGGGGGCCAGATTATAAGGTGAAAAGCACACTATTTTTTTTTCCCCTGAATCTCAGGTATTAGACAGGAAGAAAAAGACAAAGCCCTCAACTATCACTAGCTGCTTATCAGGAGAGCTGGGTTTGGGTCTAACTCTGCCACTTGCTTGCTGTGTGACTTGAGACAAGTCACTTAACCTCTTTGGGTCTTGGCAAGAAAGCAGACAAAATAAACTTCACAGTGTGCCTTTTGAAAAAAAAAAAAAAGAAAAGAAAAAAAAAATGTGGGGGTGGAATCCCATGAATATAGAAGAGATCAGTGGAGTAGAGGTAGGGGATTGAGAGAGAGAGAGGAGGGATGGGAAAAGGGAGGAACTGTGGAATGAAATGAACAAACCTATTCTATGTCCATAAACAAATATACCACAATGAATTTCACCTTTATGTATATCTATAAAGCACTAATTAAAACCCAAAAAGTAGAAGACAACCAGTAAAGTAAAAGAAGGAGAAAAGGGAGAGGGAGGAGGGTAGGGAAAGGGGAAGTACTGGGGACTGAATCAGAGAAAATTATATTCCATGCTTACATAATTATGTCAAAATGAACCCAGATTATGTATAACTATAATGCACTAATAAAAAATATGAAAGGAAAAAGTAGATTTAAACAATAACCACAAACTTTTTTTTTTCTTTTTCTGGTATGGGGACTGAATGCAGAGACATTGTACCACTGAGCCACACCCCTAGCCCTCCCCATTTTTTTTTTTTTTTAATTTTGAGATAGGGTCTTGCTAAGTTGACAAGACTGGCCTTGAACTTGTGATCCTTCTGTTCAGTTTCCAGAGTCACTACAAACTATTGCTCAGCAAAAGCAAGAAATAAGCAATGCTAGAATATATTTTTTAAGAAGGACAAGATGGGGCTGCGGGTGTAACATACTTGATTAGTATGCATGAGACCCTGGGTTCTACCCTTAGTATAAGAGGAGAGGGGAGGGGCCACAAGGATAAACAATATCCAAGAGTCATAGGAAGCAATTGAAAGAGTTCTCAGTGGTTAAAACTGAAAAAATTTAACCACAAAATAAATTCTATTAGATCATAACTCAAAGTATGAAAAAAATACTCATGAATCCACACTTACATCAATGATAAAATTAACAAATAGATGGGAGACAGACTAATCTCTTTAAAGAGTGACATATCTATATAAATTTCAGTATCCATACAAAATGCCATATAGACAGCTTAAAAAGAAAAAAATAAGCTCAGTGTGGTGGCACACACCTGTAATTCTAGCTAATAGGGAAGCTGAGGCAGAAGGATTAAAAGTTCAAGGCCATGGGCTGGGGATGTGGCTCAAGCGGTAGCTCGCTTGCCTGGCATGCGTGCGGCCCGGGTTCGATCCTCAGCACCACATACATACAAAGATGTTGTGTCCGCCGAAAACTAAAAAATAAATATTAAAAAAAAAATCCATATCCTTCTCTCTCTCTCTCTCTCTCTCTCTCCCTCACCTCTCTTTAAAAAAAAAAAAAAAGTTCAAGGCCAGCCTGGGCCACATAAAGAGATCCTGTCTCAAAATAAAAATGGCTGGGGGTATAGCTCAGTGGTAGACTGCCCCTAAGTTCAATCCTCTGGGATGGAGAAAGAAAGAAGGAAGGCAAGCAAGAAGACAGGCAGGCAGGCAAGAAGAAGGGAAGGGTGGGAAGGAAGGAAAAAAGAGACAAAAAGAAATTAACTTTATATGGACCAACACTACCTTAACTGGGTGATCAAGGGAAAAATAGTTCATTATTTTACTCTTGAGTAAGAAAGGAGGAAAGATAAAAGATGATTCTGTACTAGAGACTATATGTGCCTACATCAGTCCCTCATAAGGAGGATATGCTAACAACTAGTATTGTGGTGACAAGAATTTTTTGGAGATAGGATTTAAAGTGATATATTTTTCTATATACATTTCTATATTAAATTTGGGGGTCTTTGTTTGCTTGTGGTACTGAGGATTAATCTCTAGACCTCACACAAGTATTCTATCACTGAACTATATCCCAGTCATTTACTTTTTATTTCAAGATGGGGTCTCACTAAGAAACCAAGGAGCCTTGAATTTGTGATCTTTCTGCCTCAGCCTCCTAAGTAGGTGTGATCACAGGCATGCACCACCATGCCTAGCTCTATATTTTTTTTTAATATTTATTTTTTAGTTGTAGTTGGACACAATACCTTTATTTTATTTATTTTTATGTGGTGTTGAGAATTGAACCCAGGGCCTCACACGTGCTAGGCAAGCACTCTACCTCTGAGACACAACTCCAGCCCTCTGTATTGAGTTTTTTACAGAAAGCATACATTATGTTTACAAGTAGAAAAAAATAATCTAGCTATTTTCTTTTAAATAGAAAGGAGTAGAGGTACATATAATATGATTTTATAATTCTTAGTACAATCAACAATTTGGAAAAACTGTCATCCAAAACTCATTTCAACTATGAAATTGTGTTTTAGCAAAAAAATAAAAAAATTTTATCAACTTTAGCATAAAGGATGCTATTTCTCCATAGATTAGAAATCAAATTCTATGCAATATATAAATATCAGGTTTGAATTTACCATGTACTCTTCACTTTCTTCTCTATAGTCATCCAATTCTTTATCTAGACGAGAGAGTTCTCTATTGACCTCGTCAAGTTCTGCTTGTAAGCTCTTGTATTCCTGCAGGCCAGTGTCAAAATTTCGCTTGTAGAGTTGTCTTTGTTGATCTGAAGTGATAGGTGGATATTCCCTAAGAATTAAGAGAGAAAATGACTACATATTTATCCTTAGCAGACGTAAGATCAGTATCCTTCAAAGACAATAAAGCCAGTAGACTATAGAGAATGACCTTCCCTTGTTTACTTTTTTTTTTTTTTTAATGCGGGGGACGGAGATGGGATACAATATCTTCCATTAAGAATGATGTTACTTTTTGGGCTGGAGCTCTGGCTCAGCAGTAGTGCACTTGCCTGGCATGTGTGAGGCACTGAGTTCGATTCTCAGCACCACATATAAATACATAAATAAAGGTCTGTCAACAACTAAAAAACAACAAAAAAAAAAAATTAAAAAGAATGATGTTACTTTTTATATTACTGCTTGTGGTTTTTCTCTCATAAGTTTTATAAATAAAGTAGAAAATCAGTTATGAAATTTAAGGTCCAAGTCATAAACACACATTTGCTTTTAACCCAAAAATCACATGATAATAGAATGTTTGGGTTTATTGTCTTAAAACAAATTCTGGAACCCAAAGCCTGTTTTGGTCACTGCAGCAGCACAGTGGTTTACTGGGAGTGGCTGTTTCCTGCTACCACCTACAGTCTTCAGGCTGGCTCATTTAATTATTTTTGGTCTTGTTTTTCCTAAGTGGAAATAGCATATCTTGTATTAAATATAAATGTCCCCAGGGACTAGATAGGAACCAGGGCCCTGATCCCAAGGCAGCTCTTCCAGCACTTGCCTTGTTCCCCATCCCTCTTTGAACCATCTACAGTGCAGATCTGGGGGGAAGGGATGTAACCATAAGAAAAATCCTAAAATGACAAGGGTCTGTTTAGTAGCTTTGGAAAGGTGCCCTTACTAAGTGTTCTAAAAGGGATGGGTGGGTCTTCAGGGACCCCCTGTACTTTTCAGACTCCTAAAATCAGCCATTGGTTGTTTTCTTACCTTCCCACTGGCCTCAAGAGAGCCAAGAAACTCATACTGCCCTGTCTTCCCCCCAGTTCCACAGGTGAAGGTTGGTAGTCTAGCTTCCTTTCTAAGATACTATTTTAATTTTTGTGAGGCTTTGTAATAAAATGGTACATTTCTATAAAAAAGAAAAGAAATAGCAAATTTTGTTCTTTTATTATAAAAGTAGATATTACCCCCCCAAAAGAAACAACATGCTCATGTAAAAACATATGCTCAAGAACACAGCCCTTGGGGCTGGGGTTGTGGCTCAGCAGTAGAGCACTCGCCTGGCACGTGCAAGACCCTGAGTTCAATCCTCAGCACCACATAAAATAAAAAATAAAAAACAAGTGAAATAAAGGTGTTGTGTCCAACTACAACTAAAAAATAAATATTAAAAAAAAAAATCATAGCCCCTGGGACAGGAATCCCTTGTTTCTCCGTTGCTAGCAAAGCAATAAAACTTATTTCTTTTTGTCAAAATCGTGTACTCATTATTGGATTGGCATGGGGGACAAGGGGTAAATTTTCAGTAACAAATTGAGGACACAGATGGGACTTGAGAGCAGCTCCTACTCCAGTTTTCTTTCTAGATCTGGCACTCCAAGCAACCCCACTTCCATGAGGAGGAAGCAAGGGGGCTGGTGAATTTCTTGAGAGCAAACTGCTGGAGAGTTAGAAGATGGTTTGCTCCATCTTGGTCCACTTTGAGAAAAAGGAATCTGAACCCAGTGAAGTTGTAACACCCTTGGCCATCTGCATGATCCCTGCCCTATGTATGCCTTGTCTAGTCACCTGCCAACTGCCACCATGGACCTCTAGACTACCCTGATGCCAAATACCCTTAACTGTCCATGTCCTATCTGACAGAGAACAAGGCCTTCAGGTCACTTCCCCTAACTTTGCCCTCTCTCAGCAGAAAGAAGCTTGGAGATGTTGACGCACATTTTTCCTTAGAAATTGACAGTGGGGAAATATAATAGTGGTTCACTTTATGGTTTGAATATAGCATTGCTATTCTGCTACTGCAACTTATTTTTTAAATGGACATGTTTCTTTCTCTGCCTCTCTTCCTCCCTCTCCCTAGTCTTTTGCTCCTTAATCTCAGGGAAAAAAGGATTACCTTTCTTCCCCATCCTAGGCAGAGGTATTTGTCCTTGAGCACACCCCCACCACAAGAATGAAGTAATTCAGACGTGGGGGTGGCACCAGAAGATCTAAAAAATGACTATTTCCCAAATAATAATGAATTATAACTCTGGGCAGAGAACATTTGGAATGTAGCCTGTGAATCACTGCTTTAAAAATTCCCTGTTCCCTCTGATGAGCAGAATCACAGTATCTGGGACTGGAGTCCCTGTGTTTCTCCTTCGCTAGCAAAGCAATAAAACTTCTTTCTACTTTTTCTCAAAAAATAAGTGAATAGGGTCTGGGGCTGTAGCTCAGTGGCAGAGTGCTTGCCTAGCACATGTGAGGCACTGAATTTGATCCTTAGCACCACATAAAAATGAACAAATAAAATGAAGTCATTCTGTCCATCTATAACTACAATTTTTAAAAAAATGAATAAAAAGTAAAAAAACATGCTCATTGGACAAATAATCTGGCAATTCATTACTGTATCAGGAAAACAAATTCTGTCATCACTTATCTCTCTGAATATACCACAACCCCTTGCAAATGAAGATGATGCTATCAACTCATGACACATTGAGGAAAATACTCTGAATTGTTTATCCTAATATGAAATTTCAAGTTCTAAATCTAATAGTTTAATATTTTCATTTTTCATGGGGGGAAATTAATGATTTGATCAAAAGGGAAACAAAAATTTAGGATTTCTGAGTTTTTAGTTAAATCGTCTATAATACAAGTTAGGCAAATATTTTACAGCTAGATGGCTGAAGCATGTCAAAAAACTCTTGGGGGAAGGAGAAGAGGTGCCAGAATCACTGGTGAGCAAGGGATTTCGAGCTATCCCTGTCCCACCTGCTCCTACTAAAACCTGGAGAAGTAGTGTTTTCATTAACCACCAAGCACACCACAACTGTTTCGGCCTGGTGTCCCAATCCTCAGAACACTGGGGCAAGAAAAGGTTTTGCACTCTGTCCATGTGTACCTAGTGACAGACTAAAACCAACAATGACACAAGTTAACCACAACATTGGCCAGAACTCTAAACTGTTACTGCAATTGTTTACAAAACTGTTTGCCCTGAGTTCTTTGGATTAACCTTTAAAAGAAACTCTGGTTTTTATCATGAAAGCTTAATTTAAGGGGAATTGCTAAAGGAAAGCCACAACACACTCACTGATCTGGGCGGGAATTTTATAATCGGTAAAACAGAATTCCTTTATACTTTTTTTTTTTAACTTGAAAAAACCTCTCTTGGGTAATTATTGTTAGAGGACACTGGAGGAATTCACCAGCCATTTTGTGGGGAAGTTGAAAGTGTGTTTAAGACACGGTTACAGTCAAGCAATTGCCTCCATTTCCATCTTGATCACAAAAAGACACTAAGGAAAAACACAACATAACACAACACAAAAAACTGTCTCCAGTCCTCATTGGCAAAGAATAAAATCATACCACGGAACCCAGTACCAGAAGCAACAACTCCAAACCCGGCTGGCCACGTTGATATTCAGGACATGCAAGTGGCTGTAGGAAGAGGAGAGGGACTCTACCTGATCCAGTCCTCCTCCAGCTCATCACAGGATTCTCCACCCGTCGTGTAGTCTGTCTCATAGTGATCTTGCTCTGTTCTCTTGGGCTTTCCTGCTCTTCCCTTAGTGGGAGCCCTTTTTGAAGGTGTCTCTAAGTTACCACTGCTGCTGTAGCGAGGCTGTCTGAAGTCATCCATGGGTGAAGTGAGGGGAAGCTCCTGAGCCACTTCAGGCACCCTAAAACAGAGGTCAGTGTTCAGTGGCCACTGAGTACACTACAGCTCGGCCAGTAATATCATAACCACAAAGGGCAGCAATAACAAGCACTCAGCAATACTTGCATGCAGACACAGGCATTCAAGGGTTTACATGCTCAGCACTGAGCAGATGCCTAGCTTGCCACATTCGTTATGGCGCTCTCTCAGGATCCTCTGATACACAACAGCAGTTCTAAAGGTCTGACATGGGTCGGAGGGGGGGGATTTTATTTATTTATTTATTTAATTTTTTTATTGTTGGTTGTTCAAAACATTACAAATTTCTTGATATATCATATTTCACACTTTGATTCAAGTGGGTTATGAACTCCCATTTTTACCCCATATACAGATTGCAGAATCACATCAGTTACACATCCATTGATTTACATATTGCCATACTAGTGTCTGTTGTGTTCTGCTGCCTTTCCTATCCTCTACTATCTCCCCTCTTCTCTCTCTACCCCCTCTACTGTCATTCATTTCTCCCCCTTGTATTATTTTTCCCTTTCCCCTCACTTCCTCTTGTATGTACTTTTGTATAACCCTGAGGGTCTCCTTCCATTTCCATGCAATTTCCCTTCTCTCTCCCTTTCCCTCCCACCTCTCATCCCTATTTAACGTTAATCTTCTTCTCCTGCTCTTCGTCCCTACTCTGTTCTTAGTTACTCTCCTTATATCAAAGAAGACATTTTGGCATTTGTTTTTTAGGGATTGGCTAGCTTCACTTAGCATAATCTGCTCTAATGCCATCCATTTGGAGGGGGGGATTTTAAACTTCTAAGTAAAATGGATCTCAGATTTCATTTCAAGCTGATCTTAAGAGGTGTTTATCTGCCCCGTGCCAGGGACTTGCTCTATAAAAAGCTGTCAGGAAAATGATGATGATGGTGATTTTGTACAGGTTCTTCCAGTTCCATGAAATGTTACGTGGGGAAGAGGATGTAGCTTATCTGACTCTGAGATAAGCTCTTTGTAATATTAATTTTATACTACCATATAATAATTCTCTTTTTTAAGATAAAATTTTGAAAAACTAGAAATGATTTAAAACCTTAAAACCACAAAGCTTTATATTGAAATGAATGAAAGAGTTCATTAAATATTCTTTTAAAAATTGCTGTTAATCTTGAAGCCAGGTAGAATGAATGGAAGGATTACCATTATACTTATTATTTTTCTAATGCAATTATTTCTTCTTGCATGAGAAATCGAATTGCATATACTGTTCCTGCCACCAGCATGAAAACAAGCCTAACACAAGAATAAAATACCCAAAGCTGAGGCAAACATAAACTACTTCTAAGCAACAGAAGTATAAAGTCATCTTCCTCTTTGGCAGAAGGGCAAGAAAAAAAAATGAAAAGATCAAAGAAAGGGGCCGAGACTTTCTCAGTATAAGTCTGGCTATCCAAACCAACTATTAAAAATGTCAAAAGAAAATTGTTTTTCTTCCTTCCTACTGCTTCCAACTTACAGAAGTCACAATTTTGAGCTTTATCTTCCAGGTTTACCATTTTCCAGGTGATTTCTCATTGTTAGCAGAGTCTGAGATTTCTAATCTCACTTAATTTCTTGCAGAACCCTAAAGCTTTGGAGAATGTGTGTGTAGTTGGGGGTGGAGGTGGTATTTATTTTTTCTTTGTAAATGTATTCAGGTATCAAGGTTTTGTATGCTATGTTAATGCTAGTCCTAGTAGAGAGAAAATGTGACTTTCTCCCTGAGTTAATGATTAACAAGTTCCCAGATACTCTGCCAAGAGTTAGCTTCTGTGCTTCTTGCTTTGGGGTAGAAGATAAAACTTTTTGAATGCAGTGGGTCTACTTGAGGGGTAGGGAACAGAGAGGGAAGAAGATAAAGGGCAAATGAAATGAAAAAAGGGAAAAAAACATATAAAGCAAGTGTCCTGGCCATAATTTTATGATATTAGTTACTAATATTATAAATCTTTGACCTTGAAAGTTTTCCACCTCTCCTTTTCCTATACCCTTTAAAACACTATGCAGTAACATACCTGTTTTTAGCATGAAGGCTAAAAACAAAATACTTAGCAAGAGAAGTATATATAAATTCAGAATATATATAGGTATAGCTCAGTTGGTAGAGTGCTTGTCTAGCATGCACAAGGCCCTGGGTTCAATCCCTAGCACCATCACCACAAAAAAAAAAAAAAAAAAAAAAAAAAAAAAAATCATAGAATAAGTATAGACTAAATAACCTTTAAACCTACTTTTAGATACAAGTCATATTAAGTCAAAATACATACAATGCAGATGAGATAACCAGCCCTGTACTTCCCAGCTACCTTCTTCACTCAGATATTCTCAACCTTACTGGATCACCAGGTCTGGAGGTTGGTTGACCCTTTTGTAGATTTGAATTAATCCTTATTCCCATACATACTCCTTCACATGCCTTTGCTGTTCTTATTTTGGCCTCTCAGTGTAGTTAGGCACTTTCTTCCACCTTTGTTTTGCAATGTCTGTGAGAACACGGACTTCATATACCCAGGAGCACTTGGCTCAGTATTGTACAGCTATTCAAGATGATTACTGAAAACAGATGCACAAGAATCCTCCTTTTCAGAAGACACACAGTATCAGTGAAGGAAAAGAAACAAACAATACATGATCAACATCAATACTACAACTCTTAGAATGATGTTCATGATATATGTGATATTTCAGAGTTGCCACCATAATTATGAAGCATATCTAAACCTTGCCCCAGCAACATGAAGGACTCAGCATGGTAAATGAGAAATCAGATGCTGTGGTTTGGATATATGGTTTGAGTGTGTCTTCTAAAGACCCATGTATTGGAGGCTTGGCCTTATTGTGGCAATGCTATGTAATGTGGAAACTTTATGAGGGGTTAAGCCTACTGGAAAGTCTTTAGAACACCAAGAGTGATCTCACTAGAGCTAAGCTGATGCCAGTGTCATCCCCTTGACCTTTCAGAACTGTGGGCTAAATAAACCTCTTTTCTTTATAAAGGTAGCGTGCTTGAGGTATTTTGTTACAACAATGAAAAATGATTAATACACCAGAAATCTGAATTCAAATGAAACTTTCTAGTTTAATAAACATGTATGTGGGTAGGGTTAATCGACATTCAATTTTTCCCTTCTATTCAAGAGATTTAATAATTATTGTCAAAAAGAGAAACTGAGAATTATACTTAGCATTATACTTAGTAACTTCTTTCCACCCTCCCCTAAACTTCACAATTAGAAATAGTAGCAAGAGCATACAGAACCACATTTCTAGAGTGAAGACCACAATGTAGGTGCTGAATTAAATCAGCAAATAAAAAAACACATTTTCAACTTAGAAGAGGAAAAGGACCTCATCCTCCCCATCCAAATCTTCCAAGTCATATTTAGGTCTCTACCAATAAAGCAAAGATCATTGTAATACAAAAGAAAGATCAGTGTCTGGTTTTTATGTGTACTGTTGGATATTTTTGAAGGAAGGTGGCACAAAAAAATTAATTTTCAATATATGCTAATACTCATTTGTAGACCCATTCTATCAAAGTAAGGGAGATTCAACTTACGGTGGTGTTGACTTATAGGAAGACTCTGGATATGACCGCTTGCCATTCACTTTGTCATTGGAAGAGTACACCATGGAACTATCGACTCTCTCCACATAGTCAGATGGGGGTGGAGGTATGTCTTGTGTGCCTGCAGACACGTTTTTAACCTAAAAAACAGCCACAAGAAATATAGTTATTACTATACCCTGTAATTTAAAGGGGAAACAAAATTATCATATACATAAAATTTCTAATATTTATTTGGGTCATTAAAAACTTGTAAGGATTGCTGTTTTGTTATCAGCATTAACAATCAATTCAGTATTTTTCATAAACACATAAAGTGCAATTGTTAGTTTAAATAAGACCTGAATGCATTATGAAGTAAGAAAAATCCTGCCTGATTTTTATCTGGATATAATTAGGTAGAATAATTATCCATGGTCATTGTTCCACCTCACCCCACCTCCACATTAGGAAAACCAAGCTTGTCTATCAAGGCTAGTTCTGAGTCAGGGCAAGGAAAATCTGCATTTCTGACAAGTTCTCTGGGTAATCCTGTTGCTGCAGTCTGAACACTGCACTTGGAAAATCACTGATCTAGGACAAAGGACACCAGCTCTTAATCCATTCATCCCTAAACATGGAATGTTAAAACACAGAAGAAATTAAGCAACTCAAAATTATTTCCGAGACAGTTCTTTGAAGAAGAGATTTGTGTGGGCATGGTGGCACACACCTGTGATGCCAGTGATTCTGGAGGAAGTTGATGATTAAATGACATGACAGGGTGCCTCAGGGGTATCTCATTTACCACAATGCCTTCTGAACACAGCGCAGACTCCTAATGCTAGATTCTAGAATTAAGGCCATTGAGCCCAATCAAAGAATTTGCTTAACAACTTTCAGGAAACAGCAGGTGTATAATTTAATTATTTTGCTATTATAAACCTTTGCAATTAGGTTCAGCTTCAATGCAGTGTACTTCTCTGCAAAACACACACACACACACACACACACACACACACACTTCTTGGGCTTTCCACTCTTCAAAGCATTAAAACAAGGGTAAGTACCTCTCATATCATTGCAACATCACACACCCAAAGATGTTATCCACTCCTCAAAGTACACAGAGGTTTTCTAGACTATTTAACACTCAGAGTCAGAAAGGAATAGGATCATTTCCCTCTGAAAGTGGAATTTGGCAGTAAATGCCAAACCAGTGGGTGGGTTTCCAAGGAGTGTACTCAGATCCCACCACAGGGGGGACCAGATGGGAACCATTCCTGGCTCCCACTGAATTCCTTTTAACAGAACACAACACCAAGCTCCACAGGCAAATGTTCCAAGCCAAAGGCCCATTCTTAATTCAAGTCTTCACAACTTAAAGAGACTTCCTTTTCTTAAAAATCCATTTTCCACTTCAGGTCCTGGCTTCCCCTCTAGCAGCAACTTTTAAGAGAATGGGCAGGCAGGGGTCCTTTTAGAGACTTCTTAGCATCAGGGCTGCCCTTCCCCCTTTCTTTGCCAGCTCTGCATTCACTGGGCTTTAAGACTTGGCTCAAGTGCCAACACCTCCTATAAGCCTTCAAATCAAGTTCCTGCTGGGTGAGGCACTAACCTGTCCAATCTCCCCACACCTGTGCCTACAAACCTCCCACCAGAGCAAGTGCCAAACAATCGCTTGCTCATAGCAATAGCTTGTTCACTTATCTCTAACTTTAGTAGACAATGGAGTGTTCTTAGCCACCACTGTGACTGCTTACAATACTAAACTGACAGGTCATTTACTAGGCACAACTTTATAGGTATTACTCCTTTTTCAGAAATGAGGAAGTTCTGGCTCAGGGAGATGGACAACTTTCCCAAGAACCTAGACCTAGTAAAATTGGTCATATGGCCAGTCTCCTACTTCCCTCTTCGAGTCTCCAAAGCTCTGCACAATGCCTGGGCTGTGCAGAGATCTGTGTCTACCTCGTGTATACCTAAGCATCTTATCTACAGCCACTCTGAACTGACCTTTATTTATGCCACTGTCAGCAGAACTAGACTAATGTGACCACCAGCTCCACCCTCCAACATAGATCTCTTAGTCACACCTTTTTAATACATGTGCATAAAGTTTAAAGGCAGTGCTTGCTTCAGTAGCACATATACTAAAATTGGAAAAATACAGAGAAGGTTATTAGCATGGCTCCTGTACAAGGATGACTCCCAAACTCATGAAATTCCAAACTTTAAAAAATCCTCACCCAGCTATGATCCTAGATTCAAAGAAATAATCAGCAGCCTTTCTTCTCAAAAGGAGCTTAAGAATGATACAGAGGCAAAATGTATTTATAAGAACAGGAGGAAGATAAATGTTTTTCCTTTTTAATGCTTTACTCCCCAAACTAAAATATTACTTTTCCTCTCTCCCACTTCATGGTCTGAATGCAAAGTGAATATAAACCTAATACTATTGCTTTTGGAGGACAGTAGAAGCAAATGGGGAGGCCAATGCAGAGTGATTAGGTATTAGTAATTTATGGAAGGAGTCCCAGCCTGTATTTCCTATAAGAGATAAGGCATTCCTGAGTTTCATTGTTATTATTGACAGGATCCCCAGCTGACAAAATGGTGGTTCTTTAAAGGAAAAAAAAAAAGAAGAAGAAAAAAGAATTACCATTTTAATTGTCCCAGTAACACTCCCATTCCCCATCTAGGATAGAACACAGGATTTCGAACATTCTAGGCAAACATTACAACTGAGTCACATCTCCAGTCCTTGCAGTAAATCCTTAAAGATTTAGAACCTGAGAAAAATAACTAGGCTTCATTCTGCACAGTAAATGATGAACATTTTCCATTAAGTAACTTATATAGCCTTAAGAAATTAAGGCAGAAGGATGAAAATTAAATTTGAAAAGGTTGTCTTAAACTGAGCATGAAGGGTGAATTAAAGTTTGAGTCAGTTCTCCCCAAAGCCAAATGATGAACTTTCTGCTCTGAAGCAGGGGGAGCCACAGGCTGACCTCAGCCTCCTATAGAAGAGCCTTCAAGCCTGGAAGAGACTCCAGTGCTGAAGGCTTCCACAGGCGTGTGGAAATCCACTCGGCAGAACCCAGCTAGCCCCTCTGCTGGGATCTGCTTCAGGAGTTCCTGGCGCCACTCTCCCCACTCCACATTTAAACTTTACAAAGGCAGCATAAAGACAGATATGCTGGGACTGTGGGAGTGGAAGAGTGGGGGAGAATACATCAAGCCAACCAAAGAATACCTCAGACTCACTCGAGAGTAAATTCAAAAAAGGACAAGCACTCAAGCTGGCCATGTTTGAGGAGTATTAACCACTAATTTAAGGGGAAGATTTACTAAGACTCATATTCCAACCAAAAAAGAACTAAGCACCTCTGAAATGTCAAAATTAGATGAATATGTTTTCAGAATATCTACATATGAGGTAATTATAATAAGGGCAATTGTCACTCAAAATTTAATTACACTTATTAAGAGGGTTCTGATTTTGTCATGTGTGGGGAAAAAAGTCTTTGTAACAACATCTAATACTACTCTAACCTCCTTGGAGAGTTACTGAAAACATGTAAATCCCAGTAGGCTGCCAAAGGAAAACAAAGAGGACAGCTCTGCTTTAGAGAGCTCGATGCTCTCCAGACACCTACCAGTCTTCTGCCTTCCTCACAGGACCCAAGAGGAAGCTATAGAATCACAGGTGACCCCCTTCCCCCACCTGACTCCTCTAGCAAAACAAAGTTTGGAAGAAACACTCAACCCTATTGAAATTAACTTCCTGTCACTTGGAATTAGTAAAAGCAAAAAGCTGCCATTAGCCCAGGCTGGTGGTGCATGCCTGTGATCCTGGTAATTTGGGAGGCTGAGACAGGAGGATCTCAAGTTCAAAGCCAGCCTCAGCAATTAAGTGAGGCCCTAAGCAACTTAGCCAGACTTTGTCTCAAAATAAAAAATAAAAAGAGCTGGGGATTAGCTCAATGGTTAAGCACCCCTAGGTTCAATCACTAGTAGCAAAATAAATAAATAAAGAGTCTGGCTAGAGGTACACTCAGCTGGTCTGGTAATGTGACGAACCATCCACTTCTAAGAAGTAAAGGAAAGTTTCTCTGTTGAGTAGCTACCATGTGCCAGGCAAAGGCTAATTTGTTTATTCATCACAATTGCCCAGTGAGATAGGATTATCAGTATTTTCTGATGGGAAATAGAGCCACTAAGGTTAAATTAACTTGAAGGTCACAGAGAAGGTGATATGGTAGAGAGGAATTTTAACCCTGGTCTCTCCAACTCCAAAGCCCAGCTCTTTCTGGCAAAATGAACTTCCACTTCAGAATTAACTCATGGCACAAGGAAGCCCCTGTAGCTAGGTTTTCTACTTTCTGTAACAAAGAGTATTATTATTATTATTATTTGCCTTAAATTCCTTGCTGCACCCTGAGAAACCCCTATTTATCTAATTATGTGAAAGCAGCTGTCCACACACAGTTGCTATGAATAGGGTAGATGCTTTGTCATCAGGTGCCTTTGTTGGGTTCAGGGTACAGGAAGACTACCCTCAGGAGGTTAACAGAAAGGCTTTCCTGCCTGCTAAGTGGAGAAATACCTTGGGCAGATGGAAGAAAAGGTTAATCTCAAAGTATCATCTCCAGTTTTACAACCAGCCCATCCCACTTCCATCAGCCACAGGCCCTTGTACTACAAGGGCTCAATGCAAGTCATCCAACTTGTTTTTCCTGTTTTCTGGTGCTTTACACCTGCAGATGCGCACCCCCAACAAAAGCCTCAAAATTGTATGGGGAAAATTCTCTTAGTCTCTTTTTCCACCTTTGGCCACTAAAAAGCAAATGCTCCCACATGTACTAGTATCACAAATGAAAAGATCATGGACCATGTTTGAGCAAGTCTGATTAAGTTAGTTTGCTCAGATGACAGTGAGGACTTCGAAGCATGCTGCCCCCAACTGCATGCTGGCCAAAGAAAAAGTAATATATGTAAAGCCACAATGAATTCTGAAGAGTCGATAGGGTTTTAGAGCTTGGGAAATAAGTGAGGTGGAGAAACCTTATACTCACAGAACAAACCTCAATTATCTTATTCGAGGCCCCTTGCTACAGACATGGAAATCCTGGAGAAGAATGTACTCTAGTTTAATACACTTGTGCCTCATGCCACACCTCAACAGGTATGCAGAAAGCCATGAAGTCCTTAGAGCCCAAGCAGATATCACTTGCAGTTCCAAACCCCCTTTAGTTTACTCCAGTCTGGTATACAAAGTATACCATCATGTAAAAAGGCTTCGTGTATACAACAACTCATGCAATGCAAGAGTGCAGCTGGACTCCAGGAACAGTGGTTTTAAAGAATGTGCTCCCTAGACCAGCAACAGCAACATCACCTGCTCAGTCAGACCCACCCCAGCCCAGCAAAACAAAGACTCCCCATCAAGCTCTGTAACAAGCTCTTCAGGGGGATTCTAATGTTGGCAAAGTTTTCAGAGCCACAGATACAGACACAATTCTTCTCCATCTGGCAAACAAGTGGTCTGTGTTTAGATCATTGTACCTATACACATAGTTAAGCTTAGAAATGCTACCTCTTGGTACTGGAAATTCCTGCTTTCAGAAAGCTCCAGCCCAAGCTCATTCTCCTTCAATAAACTCTAAACTGGCTCTCAGGAAACCCTGAACTGCTCTCGCATCTCTCTCCATTCATAGTGGTGCTGGAACAGTCAGGGCCTACTATAATCCACCTGGGTGGTTTTGAAAGTGAACAGGAGGCTTCCACTCTGGTCCATTTTGTTTATTGGAGGCCACAGATAACAATGTAATCTTGCCTATATATTAAAGAATGCCTGTACAAGTTGAAAAACATCTATTGGTGGAATGTGATGGACATTATTATCCAATGTACATGTATGAAGACACAAATTGGTGTGAATATACTTTGGATGCAACCAGATATGAAAAATTGTGCTCTATATGTGTAATAAGAATTGTAATGCATTCCATTGTCATATATAAATAAAACAAAATTAATTTTTAAAAAAAGAAAGAAAAATATCTATACAAGTTTCATTAGAAGTCTGATGCGAATTACCCAAACCACCCTGTAGCTGGACCATTAACATCTCTCTCCCTGTGTGCATCTATATGCAGGGGGAGATAACATGCACAACCTGCCTATACCTTTGAGGAAAACACTTATTCTTAATGTAAGCTTGTAGCCAAATGGGTAAGAGTAAGTTAAACTCCAACCAATGTTATATGTATGTAGTTACATTTTGGAAACTTTTACCCAAGCTCACTTATTCAAGTTCATCACTGCAAATACCAACAATTACTATTATAGCTAAAATTTATTGACTGTGAATATATTATGTGCTGGCCCTGTTTTTTACTTGCATATTAATGGATGGAACATTTATTTTTCCCATTTTCAGGAAAGTAATCTATTAAATGAATAGCCAAAACTGCCCTGGAGTAAAGTAAAACCTTCATCAGAAGTCAAAGAAACCAAAAGCTATCCTATGTAGGCTGACCACAAATGACAAGATCCAAGTTGCTTAGCAGAGATCCTGTCCCATCTGTACACTTGTGATTTTTGTTTTACTTTTAGCTTTTCTGCCAAAAATATTAAGTTGTGAAGCTCAAACCCAAGTCAACCTGATGTCCTACACTGGAAAAGGCAGTGAGTAAACAGAGTCTAAACTCATCTGTCACCACTGGCTAGCTGTTATCTTACTATTGTAGTGAGTCTACTCAGATCTCCAGCTTCCTTTGTGTGAGTTCAGAGAGGCAAATCAGATGACCTCACCCCAATCTCACTCTTAGATCCTCTTTTTTTTTGGTGTGTGTGTTGCTGAGGATGGAACCCAGTGCCTCACACATGCTAGGCAAGCGCTGTACCACTGAGCTACAGCCCCAGCCCTCAGATCCTTTCTTTTACTTTACTGCAACTAAATTAGGCACACCTAAAACTGAAGCTCTTAACTTTCAATTATGACTTCACCAGAATACTGTAGGTATCAATAAAACTAATCTCAAGCACATAAGTTTTATAATCAGTCCTTAATATTGACTGTAGAGATATGTTTTTCCAAAGCCAGGCGCCAGTTTCTGTATATTTAAGCTCTAAAAATGCAGATGTGGTAAAGGAATTTGAACAGAAAGATTAATATGAATTATTCAGGGCTGAGGTTGTGGTCAGTGGTAGAATGCTTGCCTAGCACATGTG